TTGTCTCTCAACTGGAAGGTTTGGGGTTCGATCCCCACCTCCTGCAGCAACATGTCCGAACCCCGAATTGCTCCCGCTGCATGCTATTCTACATGACCTTATAGCTATAGCCATTAACTCAGAGTTTGCCTTCAATACTCTCCTGATTACTGCTTATTGATATTAAGTTAGGAAGTTGTTGAACTTGAATTATGAGCTAAATATGCCTTGCTTAGTATGGCCCTTATGACTTCCTAACTTACTATTAATAAGCTGTAATCAGAAGGGTGTTTGCTACTTACTAGCATGCTAATAAGCAACAAGTTAATGGTGAATACCTTAATTCCAAGTGTCACTGAAATCAAATAATTGTTCCAGCACTTATATAACACTGGAGCAGCAGGAACAAAGTGTGGGGAAGAGGTTGTGTGAAAACAAGCTGTTAAAAATACTGCATCCCGTCATCATGGCTCTCACAGCTCACGTTTCCCCACAAAGTGCAGTAACTGTGTTACAGGTTACTATCCTGGTCGGGACGTTTTCAGTCCCTCAGGAATGCCTGAGAAGCTCGTCCCGTTTTAGTCACACCCCACAGTGTCTGCCATGCATCACCTCCTCCTGCCAACTGACAGAGCTCCGGGAGGCCTGTGAAACACCGGGGGGCCTTTAGACTCAGCTCAGGTGTGAGTGACGAGCGGACCGGTGATGAGGAATAGGAAGGTATGAGAGACATGAAGAGTGTGGGAGCTAAACGACTTTACTGTAAGAGAGGAACCAGCGCTGATCTGTCTGCATCCTCAGTGGATAAACACACACTGATTTTATACAAACATCTCTGAACACTCCTCATCCCTCTTTTCCATGATAACCCCGATTCAGACCTGCAGCATGCATGACCCAAATACTCTCAGTTTATTTAAGAGAACTTTGTGAAGAGTGCACATTTTAAGCTTCATCTGTCAAACTGACGACTGTTTATAGTGACGTTACTCTGTGACTAAGTATTCAAATGTTTCTTGGCCTTTAATTGACTAGTTGAAAAAGGTTTGTGGTTTGCTGTCGGAGCGTTTTGGCTCCTGGAGATCCCTCTCACAGAGGAATGGAGTCAGGGAGCGATGCAGATATTGTTCTTACAAACAATGCTGGTGTGAAAACTTTAAACATAGCGGGAGCTTGTAGTGTACTGTAGTCAGTCATTATTTTATGTGCTATACATTTGGTTTAAATTCTTTGTCGCACTTGTTTGATCATTTTACATTTCCAACACCGATTAGTTCACATGTAGGGTACATGACATATGCATCCCCCCCCATTCTTGTGTTATTGCATTAAAAAATGTATTACATTTTGTCCCATTGAAGCATCTCAGGCCTTTTTACTGAGTAACAGAATGAGTTATTCTGCTTTCTATGAAGTTTTTAATTCTACAGATTAAATCGACACAACTGCTTCTTTTACAGATACAAAGAGACCCTGTTTGCAACCAGATCAAATATTCATTTTAGAGGGAAGCATGAGCCTGTGGGGCCAGTCTTGAAAGTGTCCAAAGAAAAAGCTGCAGTGGAGGGTAATATTTCTCTGGTTTGGTCACATAAAAACATAAATGTGGGAAACAGAATCACGATGATACTGTTTGTATAAAAAGAGTGAATGTCTGGGAACAGATGTGAACCAGAGATAAGAATAACACTGCTCTGGATTCACCCTGTAGTTTGTAATTATTTTATTTTTGATGGGTTGACTCTTGAAAGTATAATGTTGAAGGGATTTGAATGATTTAGTAGCATTGTGAGGGTTTTAATGAATTATGATGACATTAGCATACATGCTTATTATTCTAGCAGGATAATTATGACATGATATTTTCAAACTGTTTGCTTGGCTCATACATACATATCTTTCCATTTATCTTGTATGTCTTTATTCTCTTCCTTTTGTCCCTCTGATGCGGTTCTGACAGAAATACATCTGTCATAGCGCCCGCGTTAACCCAAACCATCTTGAAATGCTGACACGTTTTTATTTATGACTTCTGAACTCTGAGCTTTGTGTGGGGGGGGTAGATTTGAGGGCAGCACAACATCCTGCTCTCAGCCCCTTGTTGGTCTCCTCTCTGTCCTCTGCCATGTTTAACTATAGTGTTTTTTTTTATTGAACATTCCTCTGTGCAGCTGCAAAGCTTCATGGGATTAAAGACAACACAGTTATTTTTCTAACTTGACACCTCGCTGCTGTTTGCATGTGGATGATTCCAAGGAGCCGAAGTCGAAACCTGTGTGCGAGTGGAAAGAAAATATCAGCGTGTGCGATTTTCTTAGTTTTGTTATTAGAGAATGTGGCCCAAAATTCCTTCATTTTAAGCTTTTTTTCTACACCAAAATGGTTTCATGATGAACCAATAGATCTGATCAGCCCGTGCACCTTTTATTACAGGTTTTCACAGAAACATTCAGTGATAATTTTATTCTCTTGAAGGCCTGTTTTTGATTCATTATGTTTTGGTGATGGTGCAACAGAGGCAGAGCCAGGTTATGTGGGGGTATTTATCTTGCTAACACACTCCACCCATGTGCAGCAGTGGAGATTCAAGCCAGCTGATCTAATCTGGGGGGGGCCCTGCAGACAGGCCGTCTGCCCCTCTGTGTCTATATAAACGGACACACACACACACATGCACGCACCGGCACTGAGGAATGCTTCACTCAACACCGAGCACACTGAACGTCAGAGCCTCCTTCAGCACAGTGTAAGGGTATGCAGTCTTTTAATGTAGCCTCTATGAATAGACTGAAAGTGTTCTAAAAAAGTCAAACGGTCTGTGGCTTTATCAACCTCACGCTCTGATATCCAGTGAAGCTACTGGGAAGATTCTTTGAGAAATCACTCCCAGGACTTGGTGATTTACAGTCAGGACATTTTGACAGAACATTCCTCATGTAAATTAGATTCTGCACATACTGGTCCCCTTAATGCGTACAACGTCAGCCGGTGCCTCTCTGTAGGAGCCTTTCCAGCTGTCGCTTATTAGAGCTGCCGAGAAGACGGGGTGAGAATCCCAGAACTGACTCTTCTGGAACAGTAGCAGCAACGATAGCGAGGGGTCACTGAAAATCCCAAAGTGTTTAACTTAGAGTAACCTCAGCTCTGTTCACATGAGTATTTATAGAGCCAGCAGCCAGGATCTGGGGAAGGCAATGTCAGTAGGTTTGTGGTGTAGAGACTTAAATTTATTTAAGTTCAATTAGATTTCTACTGAGTTGGATTATTCCCTGACTAGCATTGAAATACTAAAATGTTGTGGTTTGGTGGGTCGACAGTGGTCCAGGACATAGTCCATATTGAAGCTGTGGATGTCACTTCCTGGTTTTTAAAAGTATGCAGATGTGGGAGTGCCTTAAAACTGCATTCTTTCAAATGGTCAGCGTGGAGGCGACTTCCCTTGATAAAGAAAGAAGCCAGATTTCAGAGAAGAAGTCCAGAGAGAAAAAAGGGGCCCAGTTGTCTCTCTATTACCTCAGTGGACATTTCCCTAAAGAGTTCATGGTCACAATAAGCTAGTTTCATGTTAAAGTGTAACAAACCCAGGGTATGCATGCATTAGAGGGCGTGATCTTGTGATTGACAAGTCACTACTAACACAACAAGTACACCGTAGTGTAGTGTAGGGCAGTGCAATCTGGGGAAAAACAGACATTGATTTTTTCTCTCTCTGATATATGTAAAGCCCAAGAATTCATGCCACATAGCCACACCTTAAGCAGCACCAGGACGCCATGCCACTAATAACGGGAGTACACCAGCTCTAAAACTTCCTCCTGAAACTGAGCGTATGCCTCAAAACATCACTCAGAAATGTTCTGGGGGAGGGAAGGCTTGCTTGTTTATATTTTTACACTCATGACGAGCACAGCAGTCAGTTCACTCCATGCTCTGATGAAGAGGAGGAGCTCTAAGGTGATATCCAGCAGGTGTTCTTGTAGTTTGGTCTGAGGTAAATGAGAACCTCATGCAACAGGAAGTAGCAGCATGTTGTGTGTTTCCTTTTTCAACACACCCTGCTGATGTATCTGCACACGCACACACATCACAATTGGGATGGTCAAACGATATATCACTCAGTCCTTGGATAATGTATTCACCATCTCATCCAAAAAATGGTCACCTTTGGCTCCAAAGAAATAAAAAATGTGAGAGTCAAACAAGCCAAACTCAGAGCTCCAGAACATTAAACCACAAACCATTGGATGACGTCCTGGGAGCTGCATTAAGTTCTTCAGTTTAGTCTTTGGTTCAGACCCAAAATGTCTTCTTTTCTGTTGGTTTGTTGTTGAGTGCTAATTATCAAGTGTGAGAATGCTGAAAAGCTGAAAGTTGACATGCATGTTAGCACTCTCCACTCCAAGCATGTTGGCCAGATTTAGTCTGAAGCAGCGCTTTGTTGAAATGCAGTTTCAGAGAGAGGCCAGCATGCCTTTCCACTGTTCACAAATCAGCCCTTAAGTGCAAAGAAGCATCCCCCGTGATTAATAAGTCATGAGCTTTGCATTAGAAGAAGGGCAGGATCTATCAATATGGCCGCCCAGAGGGCCTGCGTACAGTCAATGGATCAATGTTCACGACAAGAGAGAGGGGCTGCCTCCAGGGAACTGATGCTATTTACAGTCAGAAAATAGGAAGATGCAGCTGGGAGCTAGCCCTGTGATTGTGTGTTGTTTTTCTGTCTATGAATATGTGTGTGTGGTCAGAATTGAATTAGCTGCCTGTTACACTTTGACCGACTGAAAATAGCCGAGCTCCTACCACTGGATGATTTATTATCTGCCGGTGTAACCAAGCCATTAAGAGATTTAATATCTCACAGACTGTTCTGCGCCCTTTTGTCCAGGAAATGTTGAAAACAAAACACCTCAGCTCTCAAAGTTTACAAAGAGATCACACATGGCACATGGCTTTTCATTGTAACGGTTTGTTGAGACCAGACGATGTTTAAAAAAAAGATTCTGCCTTCTGTGTGTTTTCAGATGGACCTGAAGCTGCTCTTGATATCGACACTCTTAGGAGTCCTTTGTTACAGTAATGCTCAGAAAGGTAAGACGCCTCGTTGTTTTTGGTAAACAAGCTTGTTTGACGTGTTGTGAAATCATTATTCTGTCACCTCACATGATGTCATTTCCTTGATTTTAAGCGTTCATTATAAACGTACAGATCGTAATGATACTACCTCCCCAGAGAGAGAGAGAGAGGTCTCCGGTTTTATCTTAATGATGTCATTGACCAAAGATCCATCTGAGCATCATGGAGCACAGAGGATAATGGAAAAAGGCAGAATATCCCGTCTCTGTATCCAATTACCATCGAGCTCCGCAGTGTTCCAGATGAACTGATGTGTAAACACGGAGGGCTTAACGGACTGCTTACTTTGCAGGGATTGAGTGTTTAGCCCTGCCCCCTCTGACTCTGCCTCCTCTTCTCCTCTTCTCCTCTCTTTGTTCATCCAGAGGGGAACGAGTGCATCAATGCCAACGCCAAATACTGCGGGGAGTGCATCCAGGCCGGGGCCAAATGCGGCTGGTGTACAGACCCGGTATGTGAATGTGGAGTTCTAATCACTGCTGAGATATGCAGTCTGATGCCATTAGACTTCTGGTAATAGTTTGCAATGTTTATGGATTATGCCTGCAGCTGTCGGTTGCTTTTCATTAGGACATCATCAGAAATGAATGAAAAGCCATCTTCAAATGTCCACATCTCAAAGCCTTCAAAATCGTAGTTTTCCAAAAACCTTCAATTTGGATTTTCAAATTCTCTTTCTCTGTTCAACCTGCATCTTTAGGTTTTGGCCAGCAGTACTCACAGAGTTATTATGCCTTTGTGAAATTCTTCATATAGATTTCAGTTCATAACTAGATAGGTTGTAAGTCACTTACGACTAAGGATGCTCCGTTCAACTTTATTCAGTTCTGATCTGATTCCGATACATCTACAGATACTGACTCTGATCTCTTTCTTCGAGTTGTTGTTGGCATATGTGAGCATCTACACAAAGCTGTAGAAGAACACAATTCTTATTCAAAGAGCAAAATAATAACCGAAAATTCAAATTACTCCAAAGAAATGTCTCTGAACTTTGTGCTGGCTTCACGTACAAACAGGAAGCAGCAACACCTGTCAGGTTTTTCAAATTAAATGTTTTTAACTGAAGTGTAAATGAATTGTACTTTTGATCATCCAGAAGGAGCTGTTCCATCTCGTCTCAACGTCGTCATGGAGATGATTTGTGGACTCCTTCTTAGTGGCACCATCTGTCTGATAACAATCATAAATCCCGTCTATATCAGACCTGATACCGATGAAAGATTGGATCTGTTGCGTCCCTAGTTGTGTCTCAACATGTCTAAATATTTAAATAGTTTTAAACACTTTTGTTGGATCATTAGCTGTACAAAAAAACATACTATAAGTGGAGAGAACTACAAATATTAAATTTCTATCTAGAATGTTGAATTTCTAGAATTTGTTGTATTTACAGGAGTAGTGAACAACCTTTCTGTGGTGTAATGGAGTTATTATGGGCTGGATGTTTTGGCAGGCTAGTATCTAAAGATATAACAGTTTCAAACTAGTTTCAAACCACAACCAGAAAAAAAAGTCTGGAGGACGTAAACCCTGATGAAAGCTTCCCAACACCACAATAGACATAATAGAGACTAAAGATGGAGACTGTAGGGGTTCGTCTCATGACAGATATACTGATGGTCGTCTGTTAAACTGGTGTACTGTCTCTTTAATTCTGCCTCTGCTGCTACTCCTAGGACTTCCTGCAACAGGGAGAGACGGTGTCGACCCGCTGTGACGAGCTGCAGTCTCTGATCAAAAGAGGCTGCGATGAAGCAATGATAGAAAACCCACACGGGGAACAGAAGGTTCTGAAGAACAAAGCGGTGACCAATCGCAGAAAGGGAGCGGAGAAACTAAAGCCGGAGGACATCACTCAGATTCAGCCCCAGAAACTCAGCCTCACTCTCCGATCTGGTGAGACTAAAAATGAATGAAGCTGTTTCTAAAGATATGATCCTTCCTGAGAGCTTTTAATGATGGCGATTTGATTTAGGCGAGCCCCAGTCCTTCGACCTGAAGTTCAAGCGAGCAGAGGATTATCCCATCGACCTGTACTACTTGATGGACCTGTCGTACTCCATGAAGGACGATCTGGAGAACGTGAAGAACCTGGGAACCAGTCTGATGCTGGAGATGTCAAAGATCACCTCGGACTTCAGGATAGGTGAGGATCTTAGAGTTGGAGCACATTTGAGTGCTTGATATGTTTGAGAAAAGAGGTTTTTGTTTTTGGCTCATCAAGGTCCAACAAGCCGAATGATTCAAGCAAAGAAAGGTTGTTTTACTACATGAGTTTTGGATCAGTAGCAAGGTTGAACTTCTTTGAATGATCCGATACACTTTATCCTTTATTTACTCGGAGAAATCAGTTTTGGACTCAAGTGCTGCACACATTTCGCTGCCTAGCTAACAGCCCTGGATTTCCTGACAGACAGTTGTCTCCATTCTGCCTGTGTGAGGGTCCACAGTATCAGACTTTATAATACTTTGTATTTCCAGGTGTCTTGTTGTCAGTATTAAGTGCCACCCAAGCTGTGAACAACCTTTTTCCGGCCTGCACAAACAAACCAAAGAAGCAAACACTTGAGAGTTCAATGACCTCCTCTGAATTCACTTGGTGTCGTCTTACCTTTAAACCCACACCACCTTTAAACCTCACATGAATCTTCTTTTTCTTTTATTAGCTGAACTACGTCTCTCATTTTTCTGAAGTTGTTAAAAAATCAGAATTTGTTTCAAAAGGTTTTGGCTCCTTTGTGGAAAAGACCGTCATGCCATACATCAGCACTACCCCGGCCAAGCTGCTGAACCCATGCACGGGCGACCAGAACTGCACCAGCCCGTTCAGCTACAAGAACGTCCTGAAGCTGACCAGTGATGGGAAGAAGTTTAACACCCTGGTGGGCCAGCAGCAGATCTCTGGAAACCTGGACTCTCCTGAGGGCGGCTTTGATGCCATCATGCAAGTGGCTGTGTGTGGGGTAAGCTGAAAAATGAAATAATCGAGCTCAGGTTCTCAACTCAGAAATCACTATTTCAGCTCAGAGGGATAAAGTGCCAGTAAATGTGTTTATGTGGGGATGTGTGAAAAAGGTTTTTCACGAGTCCTCGTTCCGATGCAGTGATAATAAAAAGTGAATATGTCACATTCTTAGCAGCTCAGTTTCTCCTGTTCCCTTTAATGAGAGGATACATCTTTATTCCTCAGGGGCAAATCGGTTGGAGAAATGTGACTCGTCTGCTCGTGTTCTCCACTGATGCTGGCTTCCACTTCGCCGGCGACGGCAAACTGGGAGGCATCGTTCTGCCCAATGATGGAAAATGTCACCTGGAGAACAATGTGTACACCATGAGCCACTACTATGTAAGTAGATCAGTACCTTTCGGCCTGTTTTTTTTTTTTCTACATCTTGGAAGGATGCTTAAAAAAGAATCTCTCTGCTGACTTTGAGCGGACGCTGCTACTCGTTTCACACCGTACATTTGACTTCCTGTTTTAAAGGACTATCCCTCCATCGCTCACCTGGTCCAGAAGCTGAGCGACAACAACATCCAGACCATCTTTGCAGTCACCGAGGAATTCCAGCCTGTTTACCAAGTCAGTGTCCGTCTTCTCTTTCTCATCTCTATCCAACTCAATGTCCATATATCCATTCAGTTTGGAGCACGCTCTTCTCCTTTTCCGGCTGCGTGCATATTGAAGATGCCCAGTGGGTTTAAATATCCACCTGGGCTGATACATCTGCTCTGAGTTACAGTAGCATCCCCTGGAAGCAGCACATGGTTATTTTCTTCTGCTGTGCCCGGTTCAAACCATCTGACTTTGATAAAAACAAACTCACAGTAGCTTCAGAATGCTTTCAACTATTTAAATAGAGTCTTCATAGTTAAATCATTACATGGTTCATTGTGGTTTCCTTCTGAATCTGGATGAAGAAGTCTAAATGTAAAGTTTGTTGAAAAGTTCTCTTGATCCTTTGTCATTTCCTTATCGACCTCCCATTGATGACGTGACCATTTCAATCTTTCTTGTCTTCAGGAGCTGAAAAACCTGATCCCAAAGTCTGCAGTGGGCACGCTGTCTGCCAACTCCAGCAACGTCATCAACCTCATTATCGACGCTTACAATGTAAGTTCACAGATCGCTCAGTCACTTCTTTATAATCGACTCGTATGTTCCACATTAAAGCATCACACGTTCTCATCGGATTCTCTGCTGTGTTTTGTTTATCGTACGCTGTCCAAACAAAAGCTACCGGATGTGAATCCAGTGCAGGAAATGACATTGTTATCTTTTGATTTCTTGGCAGTCCCTCTCCTCCGAGGTTATTCTGGAGAACAGCAAGCTTCCAGAGGGAGTGACCATCGCTTACACGTCCCGCTGTAAGAATGGGGTGGTTAGTGAGGGGGAAAATGGACGCAAGTGCTCCAACATCTCCATCGGGGATGAGGTGAGGATTGAAAAACTGCTCTTTTCTGGTCTCTTTAGGAGGGTTAATTTTTTTATAGTTCGCTTTTTCCTCTCCGGTTACCAACCTGTCATCCAAATATGGACACAAGATAGTGACGGCAAAAATATTTAAAAAAATGTAAAACAGAAGTCCACACACCAAGGGTTAATGTCATGGCGCGCACATCCATTTATTTATTTATTTTCTATCTTAGGGCTTTTGCCTTTATTTTGATAGGACAGTGGATAGAGTAGGAAACCAGGGAGAGAGAGAGGTAGAGAGGGAGTGGGGAAAGACATGCAGGAAAAGGAGCCACAGGTCGGACTTGAACACGGGGCGCCTGCTTGGAGGACTAAAGCCTCCGTGCATGGTTCACAACCTAACCGCTAGTTTATCAGCGTCTTTTAGCATTCAGTCATTATGGTCTGTTTCCTCTCTGCACACTCATCACATAATGACATGATTCACTTCTGTACGGGTTGACCTTCACATTTTCCTTTTGTCCTAGGTCATGTTCACCATCAGTGTGACATCTAAGGGTTGTCCCAAAGAAGGCAAGTCTGAGGTCATTAAAATCAAGCCCCTGGGATTCACAGAGGAGGTGGAGATAACCCTCAACTTTATCTGCGAGTGTGAATGCCACAAAGACGGAATCAAGAACAGTCAACGGTGCCACTTCGGTAACGGCACCTACGAGTGTGGAGCCTGCAAGTAAGTCCAGGAAAACACAATCTGAAAATGAGCCGTGCATCTTACACAAAAAAATATACAAAAGTTTATAAACGACGTGCTTTTCCTGGTCTCAGGTGTAATGAAGGACGTGTAGGAAGACAGTGTGAATGCAGCAGCAACGATGTAGCCACAGAGGACATGGACCGGACCTGCCGTAAAGACAACGGCACCGACATCTGCAGCAACAACGGAGAATGTGTGTGCGGCACGTGCGAGTGCAAGAAGAGAGACAACCCTGAGGAGAGGTACAGCGGCCAGTACTGCGAGTGTGACAACTTCAACTGTGACCGCTCGGGAAACAAACTGTGTGGAGGTGAGTTTAAACGCCTTACTGACAGAGGGAGTGTAGAGAGAGAGAGAGAAGCTCATTTAAACTCTGCTACTTTCTTCTGTCTTTCTTCTCAGGGCATGGACGCTGTGAGTGCAGAGTCTGTGTCTGTGACCCCATGTGGACCGGAAGCGCCTGCGATTGTTCTCTTGACAATAGCACGTGTATGGCCAGCAACAAGCAGATCTGTAACGGCAGAGGAACGTGTGAATGTGGCATCTGCAAGTGCACTAACCCCAAATTCCAGGGTCCCACCTGTGAGACTTGCCCTACCTGTCCAGGAGTCTGTACGCAGCATAAGTAAGTCTGGAATAAAGAGTAATCTTATTTTGAATTGCATGTTTGAAATTTCATGATATTGCTTTTTTATTATTATTATTATTATTATTATTATTATTATTATTCTAAGGCTTTTATTTTGAATTTTTGTTCTATTTTAAGCTGAGGGTACTTTACTTGCTGTTTGAACTCAACCCTGCTTTTATTTTGAAATAAAGTTAGTTACAACACTAACTTAAGCACAGAAACAGGAAGTTGTTAGGGATCCCAAACTGACGTCAAACAGCTCAAAGGAACGATAACAAAGGTAAACGTTTGGATATAACTCCTGATATTTGCTGGAGGAGCTGCATGTTTAAACACAAACAGCCACATTTTTACTCGGATTTGACCCAAAGTTTTTCCTTACAGCCCCCTAGTTTGTTTGTTTTTCTGATAGGGATAGTCTCCCGCTGTGAGGAGCATTATGTGGACAAACAGGTCAGGTGAATAGCCAGAGCAGTCCTCCTGATCTAGATATTTTCAGGAGTGCATATTTGAAAACGGCTTTAGAAATGGGGGGGAATATCCAAACGTCAAATAGTCAGCCAAAGCTAATGTAGAAACTTCTGCGGTCTCAATTTTCCTTTTCAAGCGGGTATCTTCCAAAGAAAGCTAATTCTGCATTCTTTTAACAGTGCTTGTTTTCTCAAACTGTACCCAAATAAAGGGGGAAAAACCTGAGGCTGAGCAGCCCGGAACAAACTGACTCCAACATGTGGAGGGGGAAGTGGGTTAAGGTTGTCTCGTTTTTGTTGAGGGGGGAGAGACCAACAATGTCAGATTTTGGAATCCTACACTTGGAATTAATGAGAATTTCTACAAATAGATGTTATAGATTTTTGTTCTTCACATTCAACACCAGTGTCATAGTGGATAGGGGGCCAAGAAAGACCAAGACAGACCCTTTATACTTAAATGTAAAAGTCAGTATCACACAAAGAACAACATGAGAATGTCATCAGAAGCAGAATAAAAGACTAAACCACTGGCATATTTTTATTTATAAGGGTATTCTCGGTCTGCTTCCGTCCTACCTACAGAGCTACATTCTTCAAAAAAGTAATGGAAGTTACCATCTTCGCTCGCAGGATTTACACCTTCTAACCATCCCTAAAGCCCGTACTGAATTTGGAAAAAGGGCGTTCAAGTATGCTGCTCCCTCTTCTTGGAATCGGTTGCACGATACTTTAAATCTTCGGGAGCTGGTTTCCTTGAATGTTTTTAAAGGTGGTCTTAATGATCTGGAGGCAGAAATATCTGACTGTAGATGTTTTAGCTAACTCGTTTTGCCCTTTTTGATCGCTCTGTTGCTGATGACTTGTGACAGATTCTGATTAATGGTTCTTTTTGTGATTCCTGTATTTATGTTCATTGTTGTTAAGTGTTTTATGTCTGAAACCCTGTAATTGTGCTGCTGCCTGTCTTGGCCAGGATGTTCTTGTAAAAGAGTCTTTTTCCTGGTTAAATAAAATAAATAAATAAATGAATGTCACCGCTCATCGCTCACAGCACCCTGTTCCTTTCAGGGAGTGTGTCCAGTGCCGGGCATTTAACACCGGGGAGAAGAAGGAGTCGTGCGCGACAGACTGCACTGACTTCGAGCTGATTAAAGTGAAGGACAGGGACAAGCTCCCCCAGCCCGGAGACTCCTCTTACCCCGTCATGCACTGCAAGGAGAGGGACGCCAACGACTGCTGGTTCTACTACACATACGCCGTCAACAACAACAAAACAGAGGTCCATGTGGTCAGCACGCTGGGTAAGCAGGAGGGCGGAGCTTAGCATAAAGGCAGGGTGTGGACGGTGTCTGTTTCCGAGGGGAGATGATTACAGGGGCTGTGGTGGCTGCGCTGCAGAAATAGATCATTTGTGTATTCACACAGAGGGGTGTGATGACATGTTTTCCCATGGTCTCTCTGGTTATTTCAAGCTCCCTAACTCTCTGCTTTCACTGTGTTTTAGACTGCCCGGCCGGTCCTGACATCATCCCCATAGTGGCGGGCGTGGTCGCCGGCATCGTCCTGATTGGCTTAGCCCTGCTGCTCATCTGGAAGCTGCTGATGATCATCCACGACAGGAGAGAGTTCGCCAAGTTTGAGAAGGAGAAGATGAACGCCAAATGGGACACGGTGAGTGTTCAGACCCTTTTGAGGGGGATGAACAGAGTAGATATTTCTGATTTATTTATTTTGGCAGAGATTTGTTGGAGTTATGTGAATGTGGAAAACAGGTGTTGTTTGGCCACTGTCAGGGACTGAACTTGTGAGAAGCGTTTGTTGTTCTTAGCAGCAGATGAGATTCACAGACATGCTGATGACATTATAAAGTGTCTGGCTCACATTCTCTCCAGCCTGTGTTGCTTTTTGAGTGGCGCTCAAAAAAAAAAAAAAAAAGGAAGTATGCCAGGCACTGTGTGGACTTTTTTGGGAAAGTTATGCACTCTGAGCAGAGCTGGACTTTTTTTCCGGGGAGTGGTCACAGCTCCTCCCCTCCCTGCTTCCTGCCTTCTGTAGCATCATCTGCCAACATCAATAAGATGAGGGTCGGTTAAGCACGGGGTTCCTGTGCAGTGATATGCCTCCCCCTGGTGGTGGAAATGAATCATACACTTTGTTAGTTTGATGATGCAGATGTTCCTGATCAGCACTGCAGCTCTTTTTTTTATCACCATGGGCAGGTCAACCCGACGGCTCCAGATCCCTTTAATTTGAAGAAACAAGAGGCTGAAGCTGATAATCCTGACCAAATAAACAAGGCAGAGGAACCAGGATGAGCTTCAGAAATACTTAATGAGCTTCTTATCATAATCTCCTCTGGTGACAACCACACATCCAGCTCCGCAGCCTTGTATGCTTCCAAAAAAAACAACTCCACGTACATTAGATAGATCGCTATTAAATTAAGTTGGCCATTGTTTAAATAACACTTCCTGTAGCAGTGTCTCCTAAACTCATAGATAAAGAAAAGGTCTGCATAGTTATAGTTCTCTACATGTGCAGGACAGATATCATAATAAAGTAATAGAAATACTGAAATATATAGGCAGGAGCATGGAGCCTCCATGAATGTAGTATTAAGTGGCAATATGATGTGTCATTAAACCCCAAAGGAAAAAGGTCTTTACACTGTTCAGCTCACAATGATTTATTATATTGAACAACTTCTTTTTTTGATCTGCATGATCTTCCTCAGGCAAATGTTGCAGCAGACAAACCGTCTTTACGGTGTCAATCATTATCACCTGTTGAACAACCAAAGACAGGGACAATAACTAAAACCACCACCAGAGGGAGACATTTACCTCCTCTGCTTCCTGAGGTATATGTTACCCTCTTGTGGTGGTTTTAGTTATTGTCCCTGTTTGTTTCTTTTTTTTTCTACATTAGTACGTCTCTATCTTGCCTGGATGTGCACACACTAGTTTTTTATTTAATTAAACATCACAGCCGGAGTCTGACATTTCTCCTGATCACATTTTCTTTGCCCTCAAAACTTAATTATGGCATTAATTACAAGTGTATTATACCCTCATGTTTCATAGTTGCTATGCACTATGTACAACATACTTCAGGATCTACTCCAGTCATCTGTGAGACTGGCTGAATTTATTTCTGCTCCATTTGGTGTTCTACTGAGTGAAAGAGCTAGCTTTAGCACTTAGCAGGGAGTGACTCATTAGCCTAAAAAATTATTGATTTTTCTGAAGTTATGAATGTATTTAAAATCTTAGACGATAGGAATCTCCATTTTTATGTAAATAGTTTTTTCCCCACCTCTACTGTCTTTCTTCCATCGCTCTCTCTGGACTTTATTTTGTTCCTTTTCCTCCTTCATTCTGCTTTTTCAATCGTTTTTCTCTTCTGTGCTGAACTGTGTCTTGTCCTCGTTCCCTACCTGTAGCAAGACAACCCCATATACAAGAGTCCTATCAATCAGTTCCAGAACCCAAACTATGGCCGCAAAGCTGCCGCCCTTTAAGTTTGTATTTTCTCTTCCTTTCCCTCCTCATTTTTCCTGCATGGCCTGTTTCATGTGTGACTTCATTTCACTCTGTTGCCTCTCTCTCACCTGCCTTTTAAACCTTTAAAATCAGGTAAACTAAAAAAGAGATAACTGGACCCTGGAAGAGTGATTCAAATAGTTTGTATAAATAGGTGCATGAGTGTGCTGTGACGATCTGTACAGTTCACATGTCACAAAACGTGCACAGAGTTTGAGGATTGAAGTGTCTCAATACAAAAAGCTTGTCTGGTAAGTTTGCTGTGTGCTTAAGAAAAAAAGATAAATTTATACCTGCTGGTTTTTTTCTGTTTAGTTGAAAACAGAAGAGCATGATAGTTTGAAAAGTGTGTTCTTGATAAATGATAGATGCATTGAGTAACAAAACCTAAAGGTTAACACATTTTTTGTGGCAGAAAATCGAACTAAAACATTCTGTTTTGCCCAGTTATAAAATCTTAATTGTAACTGTTTTTTTCTTCTGCTTTTACAGGGTGAAAATCCAATCTACAAAAGTGCTGTCACGACTGTGGTCAATCCTAAATATGAAGGGAAATGATCGGCTTGTATTTTCTCATGAACTCTGCTCACTGCAGTATTCACTGTGGATTTGAGGGGATCCAAACGAGAAGATTAATGTCCCTTTGTCTCTGTCGCTTTACTGTAATAATGTACCCTACAGCCACTGCATCTGTCTCTTTACTAACACTCTTCATTTATATGCATTCATTGTATTTTTAGATGTACAGTCTACACTCTGTGTATATACTTTTTAAGTTGCATATTTGCAGAAATAATGAAATGATGGTGCTTTTTTTTCCTGCCACAGGACTTTTAACAGGCAGAAGATTCGCTTTTTTTTAAATAACACCATGTGGACACTTTGGATTTCCAATATATGTACAAGAATTCCTCTGCCTCGCTTCTCTCTCTCTGTGTGCACTGATATCTTTTGTTGTGTGTTGCAGACAGGACCTGAGTTTAATCTGTAAATCGTCAGTCACAGCAGCACATTCTGTCAATGTGTGTATATATAGAAAACAACTGCAATAGGACGATTTGATTAATATCTAGCGGTGAACATACTGTAGATTGGACAGTTGTGTTGGATCTCTAATGCAGTGGTTGTAAATGTAGTTTTTGAACTGCAGCTGAGAAACACCTGAAGTTTGAGGTTTGTACTCGTGTTGAGTGTTTTTCTAGAGGACTGAAAACCTGAGATGATTATGAACCGTCTTTCATTGAAGTGCTGATACTAAGGGACTGTATACCACTTATTAAACTGCTCAGATTGTAGCCATGTTGAACAATCAAATGATTTGTTTTATTATCATGCAAATAATAAAGGTAGCATTGTTTTATGTGCTAACTGCAGAAACTTTATTACTCAGGTCCTTTCCTGTGTTTGTCAAGTACGCCAAAAAAAGGAAAACATGCTTTCTGTTGTTCAGTGGACTGGTGAACTTATCTGCCCGGGTCAGTTGAGTTTGTTGCTTTTCTTCTCAATTTTAAACTGAAACAAGACATTTAGTTTCGACATCATATGAATCACCTCTGAAACGCTTTCACAGCCAAATGCCTCTAAAGTTCACACACAAGCCTTTACAGTGATGTTTTTCAAAGTGCCTTTTATTTCAATACCATGTTCTCTCCCAATGCTGTTTATGAGTTATTTATTAAATAAACTGTTAAAAGGACCTTTGTCTTTACTTGCTTGATTACTTTTCGCTGTGGATCGCCATGTTTTTAACAGTGAGACAGAAACTCGAGTAACGACACATAAAGTTATTTCTGCTTCACAGGGGTGCAGTGAGGTCAGTGTCTCAGTGAGTGCATTCATAATTCAAAGATAACTATCTGCAGTGTAAGGCTCTGGTCTCAGAACACTGCATGGTTTTATCGAGGTATGTAGAGCATGAAATAATTTATCATCCTGTCATGGTGTGACTCATGGTCACAAGTGTTGCTTCATCAATCACTGATAAGTCTTATTCAGAGGAGGACTGGGTTTTGGGCTGTACTGTAAAAAAATGTTTTAACCCTGTTTAAAGATGAAGACAATATTTAAAATGACTGTATAAAGAAAAGGAATTTAAAATATCTGATTTGACTGGAAGATACTGTATGCCATGCTGTGCTCCTATCTTACTAATTAGCCTGTCTTACTGAACAATTCAAATTCAATAAAAATTTGATATTACATACAAAAACGTTTTTTAAACGAATTATAAGAAGGCATGCATGGTTTAGGGTTTTTTCCATTATGCACTTTGAGAAAAGAGTGTATAGTAGTATGGAAATGTCAACTAGAGAGTCCTAAATAAAATTGAAATATGATTTCTAGAATGACATTTTATTGAATAGTATTTCATCTTTATTCTCAACATATCACATTTTTCCTCAGCATTTAAAAAAATGTCTTAATTCATTTTCTAATTTATTTTCAATTCTAGAAATTGTGTTTATACTATTTTCCAGACATTTTCACCTTTTTTTCTCAACATTTCGACTATTTTTCTAGAAGTGCATAATGGAAATAAAAATCATCCTTATTTCATTATTTATTCCTCATCTCTGGCCCATTTATCTTGCTCTAATCCTCATGCATGTTATCTGATGTACGGTAACATTTGTGTCTTCTTTTCCTGTGTAATCGTCGTTATCGTTCGGATGAGCTCATCAGACACCGTGTACAGCGGAAGTGCCAAAAAGTCACATCGGATACGATCGGAGTGAGACATCTTTTACTGTCATACTATCTTTGTTGCGAGCAAGCTGTAAACAGGGGACGCAAGTTTCTGAAGACTGCGCTTTAAAACAGGCTGTTTTAGCTTTTTATTGACAATAACGCCGCTTACCGTGAACGGAACATGGAAGACGACGTACTAACGACGCTGAAAATATTGATTATAGGAGAAAGTGGTGTTGGCAAGTCAAGGTAAGCTAAAGATGTCTCCGAGAAAATGATGTCGTGGCTCACTGTTAGCGTTAGCCTGCTAGCATTAGCATAGCAGCAAAAAAAAACTAAATTTAAAGTTTAAAGATACAAAGGCTGTTTTAAAATGACTCAATTAGTAGTCTTTTTTTAATATACAAAGACAAGTCACAGTGTCAGGGTATTTACGGCTTATATAATGCTCACGGATTGGTACCTGTCCAGCTAACCTAAGCTAGCTGACTGTAGCTGTATGTGACGTCACAGAGCTGTCTCAAGATGTTGCAATAGAGAGACCACTTTCCTGCCTTCATGTCTTACTGGCTGCACTGCCTCAAGCACGGACAGTTATCTAAGCTGTACTTACATTTTAGAGACTTAAAATGAACGCAGAAGGCGTAAGTCACTGATTTTATTGCAGATATTTGTGATGGCTAGTCAAGAAACAGCACATAAATCTGATCTTCTGTATTTGCAGCACTCTCACAATTTTATTCAAGAACCCGTGATTGACGCAAAACAATAAAAACAGCTACAAATCTAAGAGGTTGCAGGCTCAGCCTCTCCAGAAACACTAAAGTGCTGTTTAGCTTTCACAACAGGGACCAGTTTTTCCACAGTGAGGTAATCAGATGTCACAAATCAGCCTGATATTCAAAGAAGAATCATGTGTTGTTACCAGCAGGTTTATACTGTGCAGTATGTCAACAGAGTGGAGAGCTCAGTCAGGTTATTTGGCCTGCAGGAATGTGGTCTAGACAGCATGAAGGACTCCTGATGAACAGCCTGAGCCATCAACCATCACATTTCAAGCTTTGGTATCGAGTACAGCATGACTCCCATAGTTACTATATTACACAATGAATGATGAGCTGCCTGAAGCTTTTCTGCAAGTCGTCTGACTTACTAAAATTGTTTTAAATGCAGATTCTTTAAAGAACAAACTCTTATTGATGCACAGAGCTTTAATGTGCACACACGTTAATTATTATAGCTTTGTGTTCGTGTATTTTCACATTTTCATGGTCATTTGCGGTATATGTTTGAGTATGTGTGTACATGTATTCATGCATTTGCTTACTGGGCTGATAGAAATACAATATACTTAGATTAGCTTATTATTAAATCACAATAAATGATGACATCAGATTTGTGCACAAAGTGCCAGAATTGCTAATAACCAACCCCTCATTTTGGTCTGCATTGAAGACACTTCTGATACTTTAGCATCGTTAGAATCATTAGAAAAAACTTCAATTCGATAATGTCGGCTCAGCAGTGATGTCCAGTCGGTTCTTTTGCCCTTTACTTATTCTTTTTTTGACATTATCCTACTAAGATAATTGTTTGGACTGTAAGTCACAACTGTGGTTTAAATCTAGGTTCTGTTCCTGTCTTGTCCGGCAGTGCAGGTTAGTTTTCTCTTTTTTTAGACTTAGCACTGAGGAGCGACGGAGTTTATACATACCATAACATAAACCTAGGTTTAAAACAATACAGCACTCTACACAAGCCGTGGGAATCAATATCCTATTATTATTATTCAACCGGTTTCTCCTTTGTACAATAAACCAATTCAGGTTATAATTATTCAGAAATGTCAGTATTTTAATTACTCCACTGCAATTGTGCTATTGTCAAGTAGTTTTATTGACTGGAACAAACAGATGTTTAAGTTGTTTCCCTGCAATCTGTAAAACTCTTAAGTCATCAGGGTGGTGATGACTGCTCGGCGAGGTATACACAGGTTTCATTTTCCACGAACAAATGACCCAAACAAAACGCATTTCTAAACTTGGCTGTGTCCATGCATAGTTCATCGTTTATACAGACTCCAAACAATAAACACTTGCTGCTCCAGCATCCCTCCTCATGGCCCGTGAAGAAAAATGAGAGAATCATGCCCGGGTCTGAGGAAAAGAGTCGGCTAATCCCAATCATCAGCGCTGTGATTAAAGTCTGCGATGAGTCAGAGTTGAGAAATGAACCCTGACCTCCTAACTGCAATCTAGTGGTGATGTCATCTGACTAGAGATGGTTCACGTAATGCAAGTGAAGCACGAAGAGATCAAAAAGAAAGAGACAGATACAACATAATGTGAACAATTGGGTTATAAAATCTGACCCAAAGACTTAAAGCTGGCTCGACCTGTATGAAATGAAAATAAAGAGTTCTCATCTACGTTTTTCTCCTTCTTCCTGTCCACAGCCTCCTCTTGAGATTCACAGATGACACATTTGACCCGGAACAAACGGCAACAATAGGTGAGTAACACATCTGAGGTCACATCAGAGAAGGGGGGAAATGACATTTAGGTGGTGACAACTGTGAGATCATCAGCTTCATCATCTGCACAGTCAAAATGAGTCACAAATTATGATGGTAGTAGATATGCACTCACTCCATATAAAAGTTAATACAAATCATTTTCAGCACCACCACAAATAACGACTTTAATAAAACACATACAGTATTTTTTGTTTATTTGGTTCCCCATTAGCCACTAGCTAAGTAGCTACTCTTCCTCCACTCACACAAACATGAATTTAAAATCAGTATAGAATTAGAGTTTGGGAGTCCAACTGTTGCTATTGTGTAAATAGTTTGAAAGATCTTACAGTAGAAAATGATTTAAAGTAACACTAAAGCTAACAAGCATACATGAAGCAATGTTTGTAAAGCTTCCCAGGTTCAGGGTTACCAAACTGTTGTTACAGTTGCTTGTGCAAAGCTTTCATGCAGGTGGCAGAAGACAGCTTCGTGCAGGGATGTGTTACAACTGAGTTTGCTCGCCTTTTCAAGTCCTGATTAGGCCCCTCAGGGTGTACATGGCATTATTCCACAAAATAATAGTTAGTTATTTACTGCAGAGGTAGAATTGGCTCAATTATGTTGCTGCTTCTTGAGTCCACTGCTCACTGAATTCACTGCTAATAGTCTAAAACAGTCAAATATTTGTAATGCTTGAATCAAAAACAAGGTCAGCTTTCTGAAAATCTGCCTGTGAGGACGCTTGCTAACAGCTGGTATGAACACTTGGCAAGCTGGAAGTGAAAGTTAACATGATCAAATCTCATTCTCCAAGCCCGAAAAGCGATTAAATTTATTTCAAACTTAAATTGGATTTGAAGAAGAAAACCGTGCCGCAGACCCGACTGATGAAACTGTGAACTTATTGGCACATTAGGACTGAAGGCTCTTCCAAGTCCTGGTGGACCTGCAAACCATATCAGCTACTATTAATGTTATAAATCATGTTATCCAACAAGGACGCAGGGCCTTGAGGCTGTAACAACCAGAAACAGCCTTAATGGGTTTTTTTCAGTAGAAGTCAAGATTTATCACCTTATTGACGTCGTGTTCTCCACCGCTGAGTGCATGATTTTCTAGCTCACATTGCTTCCTTTGTTAAAACCCAAATACAGAATCAAGGAGAGGTTAAAGCAGTTAAAACACAGTGTTGTTTTTTTCAAGTTCATGGCTTAGATAACTGCTGTTTTACTCAGCCAACTGTGATTTTGATGCCGAACAGATGACTCTGTTGGAGTCAAGCCCTTCTTCATTGTCTCCAGCTCCCTCACATCAGACAAGAAACACTTCAAATCCAGAATCGCTTGATCCCAATTCATGTACTTTCATCCCGATCACCTTCACGAGTTCAACTGAGGATGTTTTTCTCTTTCTCTCTCTGGTGCTGACTCTCAGACACTGATGGTAGAGGCTGCTATGTAAAGTGTCTCATAAGTATTAATTCATCCCATACAGACACATTCATACGCTGCAGCCGGAGCAACTTGGGGTCAAGTGTCTTGCCCAAGGACACATCGGACTTATGCCTGTTATTCCAAGTGAAGGCAGTATTGATTACGATGTTTTTGGGTTGTTTGATATAGTTAAAAAATAACCATGACATGAGACAGTAAGAGACTAGCTGACTTTGATTTGGTGCTGCTAAGAAAATAAGGAATACATATTTCTTACTCAACTCTCAAACTCTTGAGTCCAGTACAGCCGTTCTAAGTGTCTCGTTGTGGCTCATGGTGAACAGGTTGGTCTTATAAAATCCCACCTTGTTGTGATATTTGCAAACAGACTCACTGTATTTTCTGTTAAAGGCCCGTCTGAGTTTGTACTAAAGCAGGACACACTGGTCCAGGTCCAGTGTTTAGTGTAAACTCCTCCCCATATGCTGGACTGGAGGAAGAGCTAGTTGTTGTGATTTACTGTGTGAAGTGGACACACTGTATTTGTATGTGGTACTGTGTGTCATATATATCCTCAGACTGTTTTCATGTCCACTTTCCTCCTCATCTGTTTTGACTCCAAACTTAAACTGCCCTCCCCGCACTCCCAGATGTAAAAACAAGCCCATCACAGGCCTGCTAAATCTGTCAGTGGATGCTAAAACTGTAGCCCGACATGTCATCCAAACACGCTCTGCAGGCTGACACGCTGCACAAAGGCAATACAGGAGATTTATTTTTGGGATGGAAGATGAACAACATAGTTATCTTCATGTAAATGTCTTTTCCTCTGAGACCTGGTTGGATTTACGGAGGTGAATCATTGCTCTCTGAGCCATAACACAGGTGCTGGGATTCTAAATGTTTTTATACACGTCTAGGACATTAAACCCCACTGTCCCTCTGAGATGAATATGAATGAATAGTCTGTTCATGATTTAAATACAGGACATGGGACGGGCATGATGCCAGTCTGGAAGGCTGGGGTTAGTTGAAGTTCAGAGACGTGTCGTGGTGTCTATGTTTTTTTTGTAATACATCAATCCTAGTTGTAGTCTGCTGCCGGGAAATAATTTTTATTTTAACAGCAAAATAGAAAATTGTCGTTTTTGCTCCAATAAGAAAAAAACTTATAATAGTCAGTCCCTTAATTTATTTCACCAAGATCTACAAATCAAGACAGACGAGCATCTAAATGGTAAATGGACTTGAGCTTGTGTCACGCTTTTCTAGTCTTCTGACTACTCAAAGTGTTTTTACACCACAGGTCGCACCTACACATTCACACACTGATGGTAGAGACTGCTGAGTAAAGAGTCCATCAGCAGTAACTAATTACACTCATAGACATTCATACACCACCGACGCAGGCAGCGGGAGTAATTCAGGGTTAAGTGTCTTGCCCGAGAACACTTAAGATGGAGAGACGACGACTCTACTAACTGAGCCATAGTGGATTCTGGCCTCACCTTTAAAAAATATGCCGACTTCCACCATTGAAATAGTTCAAATTTAAGCATTTCTGTCCGAATAGGATACGTAAATATTTATGTTCAGATATCTAGCTAGACTGTTATAGTTGTGTTTTAACAGGTCTTTTGTTATAAAGAAATCTATAAGACAGAGAGTCGGACCTGCACCAAGAAAGTGGAGCCACACACACCAGCACTGCACTACAATAAAATACTTTATCGCCCCCCCAGGGAGAAATGTGTTGTCACAGCTTTGCACAGTTGGTACACAGGTTTACACATATATTATAACGTACAACTGGAAGTAAAAGGAAGAAACACACCAACAATGAAAAAGGCCAGTCAGCGTGAAAGAGCGGTGCTGTTGCAGCAGAGCATGCGCCATAGACAGCGTACTGTGTGTCTTTATTTATTATATATTCTTTATATTTATAAAGCACCAAATACATATTTTTTTTACCTACATGCTATGAAACATCTAGACTTCTCAGGTCTTTCAAAACAGGTGTGGTCAGTGTCTCCAGAATTAAAACCAAGCAAGGTAAAGTGAGGAACAAGTTTCTGGAGGTTTGAAAAACTAAAGACACAATGACTACAGGGATCAAACCTCTTCTTAATAATAATGCACAATGTGTCTCTGATCTCAAGCTTACTTTAGAATGATGTTAACTGGCTTTTTAATGTACCCTAAATGCTGACTTGTTTTTCATGTATCTCATGCACGTTGAATTGCTCTGAATGACCTGTAAGAGTGTCCTTAATGTGTCTGAAACAGGAAGAGGGAAATATGAGTGATTGACTGACTTCTTTTTTTGTCTAGGTGTTGACTTCAAAGTGAAAACCATTTCTGTGGACGGTAACAAGGCAAAGCTTGCAATATGGGTGAGTAAAATAATCATGTTGCAGTAACTCTCATGAGACAGAAAGATGAGCCTCGTTCTCGTGTGTCAATCAGGGCAGAGATTACAGCGTTTCACAAATGGTTTTGGCGCAATCTCTTGAAACATTCTTAAAGCTTTCAGCTACCAGATACGCTCCCAAAATAGCTCATATTTTACGCAAATCACGACGGTTAAGCTGCAAGAGTCTGCAACTCTGCAGCCCGAACCTGTAATTCATGTGTCAAATGAAGTTGTCGTGTCTATGGGTGACACATGGCAGAGGCAGACAAAATGACACGTTTCTTTGACATCGTCTAAATGACTGTCGACAACATGTTTCGATGTTTTGAGAGGATGAATGTTTGACTCTGGATGTTTTATTTATTTCTTCATCTCCTAATTGACTTCTTGTACAGTCCTGATCTTTATGTTTTAACAGAGGCTGAATACTAATGAAGTTTCAAAGGGAATCCCCTTTAATGATGCTGATTTTGAAAGCTCAAGGTTTTACTTTGCCGCGTTGAAAACATTGAAGAGCTTTAGGATTTGTCTGAATCTGACAATAAAAACTGTTTCATTTCCCCTGCCATACAGAGCAGTCACCAGCTTTTATTGTACAGAACAAAACATTACACCTGTCAGTACAAAATAAAATATTTTCTGAGGACCCAAAGACCAATGACAGAAATACACAAGTATTATTCATGTGATGACAAACATCATGAAAGAATTCAACAATATGTTAGAAAGTGAAATGATTCAGAGGAAAAGAGACAACCTGTTCTGATCAGTCACAAACAACCAAACTATGTTTTTGCATAAATGTGCTGAAACATCTGTAAATGGTTAAGATGATTTGCACAAGAAACCAGAATTATTTCATGTGTTTTTGAGATTTGTGTATTTGTAGTGCCCATGCATAGGTCTTGTCAACCTTCACTATGAATTCCTTGCATAGCTAATGTTGAATATTTGTCCTTGCTTTGTATAACGTGACCTGTCAGGTGACCTCGGGGGTTTTATATATGTGGAGGTGTGTCTACTCACTAGTTCATGTCTGATGAAGGGCGAGGGCCCTGTGGTCATTATTCCCATTAAGATTTAATTGCAGCTTCTGGTGTGTGGACTTTTGTTTTTAGATTAGAGCCAAAGCAAGTGAGCAAGCAAAGCAGTTTCCATAAAACAGCTACAGTCTGTCTATACCCTCATGTAGCCAGAAGATGGTGCCCTTGTAACACCATCTCTGCCTCTGTGAGGGACACTGTAGTCTGCCTTGTTGTTTATGTCTATCAGTCCTGCTTTTCCTTCCATCAGAGTCCCCTGTTTGTCCCGTCCAGTGTGTTCACTCGTGTTGAACTGGTTGTGTGTTGATTTTCAGGACACTGCAGGACAGGAGCGCTTCCGAACGCTGACGCCCAGTTACTACCGCGGTGCCCAGGGAGTAATCCTGGGTAAGTCAGACTGCTTACGCCATCATCGCTCAAGCACCTGTGTGTATGAGCTTCAGAGCTTGTGTGTGTGTGTGTGTGTGTGTGTGTGTGTGTGTGTGTGTGTGTGTGTGTGTGTGTGTGTGTGTGTGTGTGTGTGTGTGTGTGTGTGTGTGTGTGTGTGTGTGTGTGTGTGTGTGTGTGTGTGTGTGTGTGTGTGTGTGTGTGTGTGTGTGTGTGTGTGTGTGTGTGTGTGTGTGTGTGTGTGTGTGTGTGTGTGTGTGTGTGTGTGTGTGTGTGTGTGTGTGTGCTCCAAAATGTAAAGTTCACATCCCTGGTTGTAAAAGTAACGTGATGGCTTTTCATCCTGTGACCTATAAACACACACACACACACACACACTCTCGCCTCTCTCTCTGGATGTTAGTTTATACCCTAAAGTCCGTGTCGTAGTATGGACATGCATGTACATTATGCATATGAACACACACACAGGAAGTGAGTTAAACCTCTAAAACAGACTTCCTCTGCAGCCTTCTGCTCTAATAATACATAGAAATACAGCACATAGAGCTCCTGTGTGATGCTGTGGAGACTACGCTATGTTTTTTTTATTTTGATGTGCTGTAAACTGAATTAAGAATTAAGACCTCTTAAGAATAAGAGGTCTGTTCTTTACAGCGACAAGAAAAAACATTCAATGTTTTTAGAAACTTCTTCATTTTCATCACTCCTAAAACATCACTGTTTTAAACTGTTATAATACCGCCTTTCTTTTTCCTGGGTGAGATTCAGATTGTGATAATTCAAAGGTAAATGATGACTGCTTATTTCCACCATACTAGTTTTTTTTCTCCCACGTTGTCCGTTTGTACAGATCAATAGAAGAAGAGATGTACACTTGATAGTCAACACAACACGGCCGGAGAAACATCATCACTGCTGCAGAAGAAAGAAAAATTACATTAACAAGTTCAACAGAAGTGGAAAATTTTTCTGCTTCCCTCTCTCATGAAAATACAAGCATAATATTCTGTTTACAGTCATTAACCCTTAAATCTTCTCCAGTTGTTAGCGCTTTAAAAATGAAAAAGGAGGTAGTTGTAGGCAAATCACATAGGTGCAGGGCAGTGCAAAAACAGCAAACTGAAGAAGATGATAAACCTGCATACTTTCTCAAATGCCACAAAAAAAGGTTTTTATTAATCACAACGTTTCAACCAGAGGTCTTCTTCAGGTGATGACCAGACGTCTTCAGCTTCTTGTTGATGCTGGAATTGCTCTGTTGTCTTATTATGGATTAAGAGATGGAGAAAACAGAAGCTTGAACAGAATCACTTTGTAGCCTAAGTAATGATGACATTGACAGTTTAATGAAGTATTTTCCTCCATTGTAATTTTCTTTATCTCAGTGTACGATGTCACGAGACGGGAAACCTTCACCAAGCTCGACAACTGGCTCAACGAGTTAGAGACATACTGCACAAGGAACGACCTCGTCAAAATGCTCGTGGGGAATAAAATCGACAGGGTGAGTGTGTTCATATATAAAATGTGTGTGTTTCCTGTCAGGTAGAAAAAGGTTTCAGCTTGCTCGCTTAAAGCCTCAGCTTCACCTGAAGTGATGAAAGAAGTTTAGCAGGGGAAATTTAGATTTGGATTTCAAAGTTTAGAAGAGCATAAAGACATTACAGCTTAGTTTCACAGAACAGATTCATAAGTCGGCTAAAAGAATGAGAATCAGCTTCCAGCCATTTGACAAATGACAGAGCTAAATGATGGTGGCAGACCCATTTTCATATTTCAGGCAGCTGTTCTTAAAAATGCCCACTAAGTAGAGCATTATGAATTTATTGTGTCCTGTTCTTTGTCTGTGAAAATCACTTTTCCTCTCCACCCTGTGACGACCACAGTGGCTGACGGCTCCGCCCGGCAGACCTCAAATAAGCCATTACCTCTCTTTTGTTTTAGGAAAACCACGAGCTCGACCGGGCCGAAGGCTTGAAGTTTGCAAGAAAACATTCCATGCTTTTTATAGGTAAGTCGGGGAGGAGGATTCCCTGCTCCGCACAGACCTGCTGCGCACGAGACATTCACACAGCTTTAGAAATAACTATCATAGTCTCTGAGGAACGCTCTCAAAGGTCTATTTATAAAACCATTTTATGTAACGTCTTTCATGTGCTTTCTTTTTCCCCTCGGCTTTTTGCTTTTCAAGATTTCCGTTAAATGGATCAAGTATAGATGTTTACTTTTCTCAAGTTCTCAAAATACCATTTTCTAAAAAATTATTGTTAAAACGGAAACATTTCTTTCTGATCTTTCCAAGTTTGACAAAGAATTTCCTAGAATCTAATTCTGGTGTCTCCCGTCTTTGAGGAGGTGTTGACTCTGGTCCTTGATAACGGTCTTTGGTTCACTGTTCATGTCGGAGGTTGAAAGTTAGTATTTTCCAACACTCCGCACTGAAGCTCAGCAGAGAATGACATCCAGAAAGGAGAACAACCAATATGAGATCTTTAAGGCAGATTTTTTTTTAAGCACATTTTTAAAAATTTAGAAATAAATAGATCTATAAATCTTTTCTCTCCTTTGCAGTGATCTGACTGCAAATTAAATCAAAATGCTGCTTTCTGATTTTGTTATTTGATTGTCAACTGGGTTGTTGCTCGGTATACTATTTGAATTCAGTTTCTGTCTGTGAGTCACAATTTTTATTGATTTATTTTATTGCAAAGATGCTTACAGCAGCATGTTTTGTGTTACTAAAGGGGGTGTTCATGTTACGTTTGCTGATCAAACTGTGAGATGTCTAGATGCACCGGTTGTCTGAAGTCTGCACAATGATCAAACCTTCTAACTTTATTGGAGTTTTTTTGTTTTCATGTGTGCAGCCAGAGACGACGTGATGTTTCTAAATCAACCAAAGCCTTGTTTTCTACATTATATGCTCCATTTAAAAAAAGTTTCCATACATCAGCCAGAGGCTCATAGCAACCCAATATAGCAGTCAGATCTTATCAAAAAGCAGACATTCAAACTCCTCTCAATTTCTTCCTAAAATAAACTCAAACTTTTCCTGCATTTTTATGTTTCTGTCTTCACCTCCTCACATCTCTCTTCTCTCTCTCCCCCTTTATTTCTCCTCTGTTCTTCCAGAGGCGAGTGCCAAGACCAGGGACGGTGTTCAGTGTGCGTTTGAGGAGCTGGTGGAGAAGATTATCCAGACCCCCGGTCTATGGCAGAGCGAGAACCACGGCCGAGGAGTCCAGCTCACCGACGAGGACGCGGGAGGCGGAACCTGCGGAGGCTACTGCTCCCTGGTCTAGACAAACGATGGAAAACACCTTCACACACACGTGGACGCCACACACTCAAATATAAACATGGACACAAACACACACACCCCTCCCCGCTGTGTCATCCTGAGCTGAGCCCTCTCCTCAGACATAGAGGCGGTGGAGGTCTGAGGGTCGACCGTCCGTCTCCTCGCTGTTCACACAGACTTTTTGCACACTTTCTAATAACAATGCTGCGCTAATATGCAACTGCAGCTCCGCCTTCCTCTTAACGGACACCAAGTGAGGGTTTGTTTTTTTCTCCTCGTCTTCGTTTTGAGTCACAGTTTTGTGCCGTTTTTAGAACCCGGGTCAAAATATGAGCCATTCTCATTTTACACATCGAAAGAAATAATTAAAAGAATTAACCAAAGTCACACACATGAATAAATCTGTGAGGGATGATGATGAGAATGGAAACAGTTTTAACCCCTAGGTTTTCTTTTTTTCTCCAGCATGCTGATCATCGTCGGAGCACCTTGCCTTAGCGAACACATCTGTATCAATGCAAATCCACCTTCTCTCCAGTGTGAGCGTTTCCTCTGCTCTGTCCTGTGCTTGATTCCCCCCCCCCCTCGACTGAACATTACGCTGCTTATGAAGAAGCTTATCAAGCCAGGCTGACTTTGTTTTCTCATCTCGCACACTCTCAGTCTTTAAAGGCCTGGATCATGCGTTTCTTTTGTTGTTCCACAAACTGCCTCATTTTTCTTCAGAATATAATAGAGTTACCAAGTGTCTGGAATGATGTTTTACTGCTTTTATTGACTTGGACTTCAAACCTGTGGTGTGTTTTGAAGAGTGCATGAATCAAAGAGATTGGCACTAGCGAGCTTTCCACCGGGTGCCCGAAGAAGAGGGAACCTCTTAAAATTGCACGCCTTTGTTGTAACGAGTTGCTTTAATGGAGTGCGACTCACTGGCACTCCCTCACTCAGACAGATAATATCAGTAATATCACTAGCACTGCTGCAGTTATTCATATACATCCGTTTTGACTGGACAGAGACAAAGGAAAAGTGTTCAATATAAGACGGGGCAGTGAGTCATGAGGGTGTTTCCACTGGGTTTCGGAAAATCAAAGAAAGAGCTGTGTGCTCCACATGGCTAATGGATTTCACAGTACTCTATCTATCTGTGTGTTTTTGTATCTGAGGAAAGCAGTTATACATGTACTGTACCCCTGACCTCTGACCTCTCACCATGTTTGTAGAATCTGAATGCTGATGTGTGTTCTTGGAAAAAATCCTGGGAAAAGTCTAGCTCTGAGAGTGTGATCTTGTAACGGGGATTCAGTGAAAATGATATGAGTACGAGTTAGATTTTATTTTTTAAATCTCTTTTAAATTGCATGTGAGTCTCTGCGTGCCATCTTTTTTTGTGTTTGTTTGTCCAGTGAACGGCCTTGTTAGGCTTTTTACTATAAACAATATAACTTATATTTAGCTAAAGTAAGTTTACCATTTTGATTTTAATGGTATAATAAAACAAAAAGGAAGTAGGCTTTTACTCAGTTATCTCTTTTGTGTTCAATAAATATGTTGGAACATGTAAACCTTGTAAATTGTGTATTTTTAAGGAATTCGTTGGGATGATTCCTGTATGAAGTGTAAAGCTGAATGTAAACATATTTCACGACAAACTTCCCTCTGTATTAAACGGAATAAAAATCTTTTTTAAGCTACAAAAGGACATTTTTTGATAGTTATATTTGAGCAAAAAGTTGATGTGCAAAACGTGAATTAATAGAAAGTATGTTAACATTGACCAAACATATTTTGCCACTCGTGACGGCGATTCTGACATTAGTTGGTAAGTCAGGCACGAGGTTCCGAGTTGTTCCGACTGGAGCAGGTGTTCATGTGCATTTTAAAACTTGGAGAACTTGTTTTTCCGATGTGTCCTACACCACATGAATGCAGCATAATGCACATTAAAGGTGGAGTCAGCATTGTTTTATGCTGCTTGTAAATACAACATTCAAACTGGGTCCCTCATCCCCACCAGAAGCACACACTCAGTGCTGGATGTAGTGTGTCCGTCTACTACTTGTACACAGCAAGCTACAGCACATTATGACGAGCTAACCGCCGGTGTCTGGAACCTGCCTGTCCAACAGAAAGCCGACCAACTCCGCGTCTGTAGGTGAAAGCCAACACAAGGTTCACCCTGGAGCTTTATCCGCCCGGCGTTTCTCTCACTGTGATTGTATTTTCTCTTATTTGCTGCTACGTCCACATCCACCATATTTGCCTGTTTGAATTTGCGTCCAATCGCTGAAATATATCCACTCCTAAATTCACCTGTGTGCCTTCATTGATTGGAGGAAACACACCAGCTCTCTGTCCAGAAACATCCTGTGGCAACCAGAAAGAAAATTAAAAACATGAAACTCCAGTCAGAGGACAGAGTCTCTGCAGACACAGTCACCACCACACATGTATGGAGCAGCATTACTTTTGTATAAGTCTATATTGTATATTTTATCTTTAAAGCTTTGCTGTTGACTCGGTTACTTTTACAGCACTACTGTATAAAAATGAAAAAATGTCCTCTGATGTTCAGATCTTCAGCAGAGATGACCAATAGCTCTACTGTCATCGTTGCCATGTTGGAAATGTCGCTGGTAGGTGATGGGTTTTTCACTCAGCGCCCTTCGCATTCCTCTGTCCTCTGAATAAAGCGTCATGTTTAAACAGTGTCCGAGGAACCCTCAGAGCCTAGACGTGTGATCTATCTAAATCATCTTGTTGGCAGACGTCTCAGGAAACACCACCACAGCCATAACTCACTCTACCAGTGCTTTAACTGGGATGTGCATAATTCCTGGGCGATTATGAAAGGGTCTTGGTCTGGCAGCGAGGACCCCTTCCCTTGTAGCAAATCCCTCATCTCCTGCCCGCAGTCCAGGCAGCCGTCTGGAAATATGTCTCAGTCAAACAACAACCGAGGTGCATGGTGTAACAGTGCCTTCATGTGGTCCAAACATGTGCCAAGCTGGAGCGCTGCTGTTTCCTCAAGCCTGCACTGGAAAAACATCAGCGACTCAAAGATCTAGGCTGACAGGTTCGATATTATCAGAGAATCATTTACATATTGTGTGAAGTAGAGCATTGTTTCATAATCCCCCTTTAATGCTCTATGAATAATACTTTCTATGAAGAACACCTGCGATTGTGTTCAATGTGGGATTGACTCTCTTAATTAGTCCGCAGCTGAACAACTCCCCATCTGTCCAGTTGTGTCTATAAAAATCTAAAACATGTTCAAAACATGAAAAGGAAATTTCCTCAGCCCAAGGTGATGTCTCACAGTTACTTGATGTATCAGCCAACAGTCTTGTACATGAAAATATTCATGCACAATCATAACAACGAGGAATCAAGGACATTGTCACCTTTGGGAAGCTGCAATTGGTTTTATATTGGTTACATTTGTTATCTAGACCAGGGGTTCTCAAACTTTTTTAGTCCATGGACCCCTTTCAGCTGAGAAATTTGTCTAAGGACCCCCTCATTATCGTAACATTGATAAGCATATATTAATAATATACTATGTAGTACTTTGCAACGATAGAATTTGGCTACATTTATACTTAAGTTATACTTATAAGTTATTCATTTTATAAACTTTGCGAAAATGTTGGCTCCGAGGTGTTTTATTGTTGTGCACTATGAAGTGACAGACATGTCACGATCATATTAGAATTGATCTAATGGCCCTAAGGTGGGCGGGAGTACTGGACAAAATAGCTGGTTTCATCGGTGCAAGAGGTCCCAGTTTGTAGATATGCTTTTTCAATGATATAGCACACTTTTACAATTGTTTTTAAAGTATTCCGCGGACCCCCAAGCTATGGTTAGTGGAGCCCTGGGGGTCCTGGGACCCCACTTTGAGAATCACTGATCTAGACATGTTACTGCCTGGAATTTGGCATCATGTGTCAGGGTTAAGGTTTTTATAATTTTAGCTAGCCAGTAGAGAGATTGCTGGTTTTAGGCAATCTTGTGTTTTTTCTTGAAATACCCAAAGGCCAAAGTCAGTCGATCAATCAAACCAGACATCAGGTGTGACATCAGTCAAACAAAACATAAAGATATTTTTTGTTGACCTCTCCACACAGACACTACATACAATAAGTGACAACGAGGTCAATGGATTTATTTGGAAAAAGATAAGACCTGGTTGTAGTCGTTGGCTGTACTGCAACTGCAACAACACAAACCTTCAAGAAAGCCTGGCTGAATGGACATCTACACTTTTCATATTGCCCCCACTTCCTTGCTTGTGAGGCCTGTGAGCAGCTCTTCAGGAGCAGCTTGATGGACCGCTGTCTGTGTCTGAGCATACAGCCCGGCACTAAGCTAACAGAGCAGATCTGGATCTCATTAACGCCGTCTTGTCTCTCCCTGCTCCTCCTCCTCCTCCTCCTCCTCAGGCCGTATGGATTAGCACTCAGACGACGAGCCCCTCAGGAGAGCCGTCATCCTGTCATGTGTAAAAAAAGTTACGAGACGTCGGGCATCGTTTCATAAGGTGTTGGGTTGACAGACGTCGCTCACTTTGTCATGCTCACTGTCCGTTTTCTCTCAGGTAATTGTTTTGCCATGCTGCCTTATAAGAGTGAAGAAGAGAGCGTGAGGGTGACTGTAAAGACCGTCCCTGAGACAGAGCTATACCAGAGTAGTCTATGGAAGTAATAATCCAATATCTTTGCCATGACAGCTCTGTGATAATGAGAACGTGATACGGCTGATAGCAGGAGGCGCAGCGGGCCACCTATAAGTTCACTCTGACAGACTTTTACAGCCCTCAGGTCTTGGGGTTTAATATTTATAATCGCCTTTCTTTCCATTCCCTTCAGAGGACCTCCCCAGCTCCGGGTGGAGAGGACGGTTTGAATCATCACTAAGAGGATGAGTCAAGGTGCAACTCATTGTTCATTACTTTTTCTTTTTAACGGGGCAAAATGTTTCCTTTCCAAAACAATTCAACCTACTGATAAGACAAGAGAAACACAGAAAAAAAAGCTGGTTACAGGTAATAATGACTTCATTAATTGACAGTAACGTTAAGAGCTTCTTGGATCCAACATGCCAGCTTTGTTTGGTGGCTGTGTCGTCAGAGTCGGTCGTCTCTCAACCTGAAGGTCAAGGGTTCAGTCTCCAGCTCCTGCAGCTACATGTCCGATGTGTCCTTGGGCAAGACACTTAACCCCAAATTGCTCCCTCTGCTTTGTTGTTGGTGTATGAATGGGATTAGTGAAGAGGGAAGGAACACTGAGAACTCTGAAATACACAAAAATACAAATAAGACCAAATCATGACAGATTACGTTTTTGACTCTGAAGTCAGGCTGAATTTCCGCCTGATCAAACGTCTTTTATCTCACTGTGTACAGGGTGCCATCAGAGTTGGTTACAGTCCTACTAAAAAGACCCCAAAGGTTTCCTGTGTAGGTCTGCAGACATTTTCACTGTTTACGTTCTGAGGTGAGGTAGAGGAAAGTGCTCGTGCTCCTTCCCTTCCTTTTTAAAGTCAGCACAAAGTCGAGCTCTGGCCTCTCTTAGGTTACCCCTCTGAGCACCAGAAGTCTGTGAGGTAATGACCCGGCGTGCCCAGAACTGATGGCTCTGTCACTGCAGGTGGAAACACTTTTGATTACGTGGGACCTCGTGTTTACACTGTTGCACCCGTTTACACTTAAGACCCTTTGACATTCTCGTCAGGCGACCGCAGCTTCCAGTTTCAGGACTCTGATCTGTTTTGAGCGCTGTGACCTGCTGCAGGCCTCTGTGTCCTTCGGGTTACGGGGAAGTCAGTCAACCCCCCCCCCCCCCTTGACTCCATATGACAATCAATGAACCTTCATGTGTGGGCCTGGCTCCATATTTTTATATTTAACTACCTGCATGGTCATAGTGTAGAATGTACAGTAAAAACATCTTTGGAAAACAGAAATTGCTTCAAATTCTTTCAACACAGGAGCTTACCTACTTCCCTATAAGCACCAGACTCTTATGAATACCCATCAATCATATCAGGACCCCTTAACTCAATAAGAACAGGCCCCAGGTAAGCAGGAAACCTCCATCTTTGTTTGGTGTGAACCTCTGGCCTTGGGTCCATGTAAGTCAAATCAGCTAGTAATGGAGCTGTAATTGAGTTTCCTTGTATTTGATACTCTGTCAATCTAATTTAAACCTAAATGATTGTATTGTAACTCACCCTTGTTATTCTCAAAAACAGTGCGACCTGTGTACAGGCCCCTGAAGGAACCAGCAGACACGAATGCCTCACCCTCTAAGAGAAAACTCCTTCTCGCAGTAGGGGTTGCTTTCATCCACGGCCTCGGGTTACTGTGACAATAAGCAACAAGGGCCGAAGACGGGCCTGGCAGCAGGGGCGCCACAAGATGTAGAAACAAAAATGGAAGGATGAGTTACTTCATTCATCATCCCACCGCCGCCCGTACTCAGCCGTGTTCGAGGTGGGCTCACGACGCCTCTCCCTCTTGTATGTCGTCATTCAGTGTGTCAGTTCAAACCAGCCGGATCTCACTCATGCTACTGCGACAACATGGCCACAAATACCCATGTACTCTGGCCATCAGCTTCTATAATAAACTAATCACTCTGTATCAACACGGGCTGGGTGTAAGCTTTCCACATGCCTC